ATGATGATAATGATGAGAGAGACACGCGAACGCCAAATATACAACGGGCGTCAGGTTCGAGATCGAACCCACGACCTCCTGTACACCAGGCGAGGTAGTTAACATCTCCTAGCCACCGCGGCGCCTCCATAGAGTGTGGGCGCGAGACTCGTGATGGTGATGATGTTGTGTGACGATGTGACGACGACGATGATGATGTTGTGACGATGTGATGATGACGATGATGATGCCGATGATGTTGTGTGACGATGTGGACGATGATGATGTTGTGTGACGATGTGGACGATGATGATGTTGTGTGACGATGTGACGACGACGACGACGATGATGACGATGATGTGACCTTTGGCTCGTTTGTTTGCAGGACCGCGATTCTGTTCCAGACGAATTGGAGTAGGGAGCGAGCGAGCGAGCGAGACGGGAGGGGTGGAGAGGGGGGGTGGGTGGTGCATGAGGAGGCGAAACATCACAACCCCCCCCGGCCCCCCAGAAACAACAACAAGCACCGCACGTCCCCCGTGTGATATGTTTGATATATTAGGTTGCTTCTTACGCACGCAACTATATATCAGACATATGCGTACGGTGGACGGGCCGAGTCAGCCTCCACGCCGGGGACTGCGGCCGGCGCGGTCCTCTCCGTCCCTCGTCCGCGTGGAGTTCGTCTTGCGCGTGTTTTTAAATCCTTTATATTAAGTTCACTTGCGTGCTTGCTTGCTTGCTTAGGACCGTGCAAATCTTTCGGTCGTTTTTTAACCCACTTCCCGTGATCCGATCGAGCTGACATTTTGCACACAGACTCGTTGTGCGTGACAATTAATTTTCGTGAAAAAATTTTTCCCAAAATTTTACACTGTTTAGGGAACAAAAATTTCAATATTTATTTACCAATTGGTTAATGCTGGCACACAATCATCTGACCCATAGGTGGCAGCCATCTCAAGCCAGAGGACGAGAGGACTCTAGCCGCCACGCATATAAAGGATTTATAGTGAAAAACTTAGTTTTTACGGGTTAATTTTTTAAATCCTTTATATTAAGTTCACTTGCTTGCTTGCTTAGGACCGTGCAAATCTTTCGGTCGTTTTTTAACCCACTTCCCGTGATCCAATCGAGCTGACATTTTGCACACAGATTCGTTGTGCGAGACAATTGATGTTCGTGAAAAAAAATCTCCAAAATTTTACATTGTTTAGGGAAAACAAATTAAATATTTAATTACCAATTGTTTAATACTGGCAGACAATCATCTGACCCATAGGTGGCAGCCATCTCAAGCCAGAGGACGAGAGGACTCTAGCCGCCACGCATATAAAGGATTTATAGTGAAAAACTTAGTTTTTACGGGTTAATTTTTTAAATCCTTTATATTAAGTTCACTTGCTTGCTTGCTTAGGACCGTGCAAATCTTTCGGTCGTTTTTTAACCCACTTCCCGTGATCCAATCGAGCTGACATTTTGCACACAGACTCGTTGTGCGTGACAATTAATTTTCGTGAAAATTTTTTTCCAAAATTTTACACTGTTTAGGGAATTTTTTTAAATATTTATTTACCAATTAGTTAATGCTGGCACACAATCATCTGACCCATAAGTGGCAGCCATCTCAAGCCAGAGGACGAGAGGACTCTAGCCGCCACGCATATAAAGGATTTATTGTGAAAAACTTTGTTTTTACAGGTTAATTTTTTTAGTTTTCTTTTCATTTTCTGCCGAGGGCAACTCATCGGTGTGCGGGTTTCCGCGCTATTGTCGGCGTCGACTAAAGTTCGCTCGAACGCCGCCGGTTGTTCGATGCGGGGTCTTCTTCATCCTCATCCTCCTCCTCGTCATCGTCTTGTCGTACGGCTTCTGCTGTGGAATGCCGCAGAGCGACAAACTTGGCAATGTTCACGGTCAAGGGGGTCAAGGTGGGTCAAGGGGGTCAAGGTGGTCAAGGTGGGTCAAGGGGGTCAAGGTGTTCTTCTTGGTTCTTTCGGTAAAGTCACGTAGAAGGGAAGTAATAAAACAATAAAAATAAAACACAATAAAAAGGGGTCAAGGTGGTCAAGGTGGGTCAAGGGGAGTCAAGGGAGTCAAGGTGGTCAAGGGGGTCAAGGTGGGTCAAGCCGGCGGGCAACCCGCGTCACGAGCAGCAGCGGGGCGGCACATCGCCGTGACGACTTCTCTCTTCGCGCTTGCGGATCGAGAGGGGGCATTGCGTCGCGAGGGGTCTCTCCGTTCCGCATGGAGAGATTTTGAACGTTCCACTCGTGCGTCGTCATCATCAGCTCGTCCGCACTTGCTGCTGCTGCCGCCACGGTGTGAGCAGTGGGTGATGCGGGTTGAGGGGTTGGACCATGAGGCCGCTTCGTGGGAGCTCAAACCCCCGGGGATCTTCTGCGTTGGGTTCCTCGTAGCGAGCTGGCGCTAGGAGATGTTAACTACCTCGCCTGGTGTACAGGAGGTCGTGGGTTCGATCCCGACCCTGAGAATGCCAGCTGCTGCTGCATATTTGGAGTTTGTGTGTGTCTCTCTCTCTCTCCCGGTGGTCACGTGGATTTTTTTTCCGTGGAAAAAAAAAGAAGAGAGATATGTAGCTCATCGGATTCCTCCAGTCCAAAGATTCTGATAAAGATTCTGATTCTGAATGTGCAGCCCCGAAATTGCTTATGTACGTTGTGTGTATGTTGTGTTTTGTATGTGTCTATGTTGGACTTGTATGTAGCCAAACCGTGCTAATCGGGGGGGGGGACACACACACACACAAACTACGTCGCTCTTGTTCAGAAGCGACCTGGCCATCAAAAATGATCGCTCAATAAAGCGGCTTGACATCGGTGGGAAATTTATAGCAGCCAAATTACTCTAAACGCACCACGGGGAAAGGGAGAACGCGCAAACTCCAAATATACAGCAGCAGCAGCAGGCGTCGGGGTTGAGTTCGAGCCCACGACCTCCTCCATACCAGGCGACGTAATCGACATCTGGCGAGATGTCTCTTAACGTGACCAAAGCCCCCACCGAGTCGGCCAAGCGTTGCGTGCAGAGGAGTTTATAAATCGGCGCACGAAGGCGCCTCGCTTTCTAGCGGCAACGGCGTCATTGGAATCCCAGCACGCTGGCGCGCGTCAGGACGACGCCACCTTTTTAAATCCTTTATATTAAGTTCACTTGCTTGGTTGCTTGCGCGCTTACGACCGTGCAAATCTTTCGGTCGTTTTTAACCCACTTCCCGTGATCCAATCGAGCTGACATTTTGCACAGACTCGTTGTGCGTGACAATTTATTTTCGTGAAAATGTTTTTCCAAAATTTTCCACTTTTTAGGAATTTTTTTTTCATATTTAATATAAAATACTAATGTGATAAAAATGAAACTCTTACTCAAGAAAAACAGAAATGAATAATAAAATAAAACCGATGCCTCGCATATAAAGGATTTAGTGAAAAACTTTGTTTTTATGGGTAAATTTTTTACTCTGCGCTCATTTCGTTACGAAGCCACACGTGGAACGTCAGCGGCGACGTCGCCCTGCTCGACATTTGACGCACATGCTGCTGGGATTCTAAGATAAGATTTTGCCACCGAAGAAAAAAAAAACCGTGGTAGTTCCCACAGAAGCCCCCCCCCCCCCCACCCAGCTTGCGGGGACGAAACGTCGGACATTCGTGACGACGTACGGACCCGAGGGCTGTACAACTCCGTACGCGAAAACGCGTGCAGCAGCAGAACGCACACAATGGACAGACAAGTGTGTGGCACCAGATAAAAAAAGTTCTTTATTTGTTCTCAACAATTATAATACAATCATCTCACCAGCGCAGCAGCCAACGTCGCACTGCGGCAGTGAGAACGGAGTGGAATTCACCTCCACGTGGCCACCACGAGCCAGCGGCGGGAAAACCCCAAGGGAATTTTTTTTGGCAAGGGGTCGTCCCGCGTGGCTGTCCATCCGCCGTTGACACTCGCTTTAAGTCGACCCCGAAGGGACGATTAGGCAGCTGACCAGCGCCGCGTGAGAGCCGGGCGACCTCTGGCCAGTGGACACTCCAAAAGTCAAAACATGCAAGCAAATAACGTGCACGCGTTTGAAAACACAAAAGTATTCCGTTCACTTTTTAAAGCCTCGAGCAAATCGGGCGAGCGAAACTTCACGTCTTCCGCCAAGCAAACGATTCTGTTTCGTCACGTTGCACACGGCTTCGCCGTTGTGGCAACATTTGCCAAAGGTATAAACACAAAACTATACACGGGCGTTCTTACATTAATTATATACAAGACATTCAAAAAAACAAGTGACCATTCCGCAATCGTATTTTTGTACGCCACGGTCTTGGATTTGCAAGGTGGATGCATCTTACACGAACGGCAGTGCGTCAAAAATAATTCCCACGCGCCAACAAAGCCAACGGTTTGCATTGGGATAACGGTCCGTCGGCACCCCCCAAATCAAATGCCGGAAATTCTACGCTCCTATGACGAGGACCGGGGGGGGGGGGTTCATAGTCCGAGTATCAACATTGGCAGTCCGGTTTCTGCAGATCGTCGGGTGTTTATTGTGCAGGGTGTAAGGTGTTCGTGGTGCAGGGAGTAAGGTGTTCGTGGTGCAGTGTGTAGGGTTTCGTGGTGCAGCATGGAGCGTGTTCATGGTGCAGTGTGTAGGGTGTTCAAGGGGCAGGGTGCTGATCGACGTTGTGCTCAAGTGGAATGCATCATGAACAACATCTGATACAGGGAACAAACAAATTAACTCGATACAAAATTGACAAACTATGTATTTTATAATCCCTTTCATAGATTTTTAATCGTGAATAATTGTTTGAAAGTTTGTGTACCTTTAATTATTATGTTGCAATGTTACATGTAAAGCGTTGGGGTTGCTTTATCGCAAAGGGGGCGCCCGCTGCATTAAATAAAGTTTGATTGATAAACGCAAGCTCCGTACACAAGATGTGCTCGTTTTATTAATCCCCAGCCGTTTTATCCGCTTGGGGGCGATGAGCGAGTGGATGTTTACGCAAGTCAGTTGCGCGCCAGTCGGCGTGGCAATGTGTGCGCGAGCACTCCAGCGAGCGCTAATACGCGTGTGTGTGAGAGAGCATGCGTTGGTGCGCGAGGGTTTGAGCGAGTGCATGCGAGTGTAGGGCATGCGAGAGTGAGAAGGTGAGTGAAGGGACAGGCGAGTGCTGCGGGCGAGTGCTGTGGGTTAACCCCTCTCCCGTGGCCCAGATGACTGCAAGTTGCAGGGTGGGGTGTCCCCGCTTCACCGCTGAATCTTGGAAACGCGCAAGCGATTCAGCGCTAATTTTACTTAGAGGCATAGCGTCGGGTTTTATTTTTCAAGACGTTACTCACCGCAGAGAACTGTAGCGACACGACCGCCGCACTCTACGATAGCTGGCAGCAACACTGTGCCTCACGCCCTCCCCGCATGGCCTTGTGGGAGCATCTGTACCGATAAAGTTATTCTATTTTGGTTTTTCTTCTGGGTTAGGTTAAGAGTGTGCGAGGAGAATCAACGTCACGCGTTTGGAGTAATTGGCTGCTATAAATGTCCCACGTGAGAAGCCGCTTCGCGTTGAGGTATCATTTGTGGCCAGGTCGTTTCTGAAAAAGAGCCACATAGCTCAGTAGGCCTGACCTGCTAAAAAAGTTTTGTTTAGTTTCTACTGTAGTTTAGTTGATAGAATGAGCGAGTGGGTGAGCGAGTTGGTGAGCGAGTGGGCGAGCGAGTGGGCGAGCGAGTGGGCGAGCTCGCGGTGATGGGAACACGACAGTTTGTGGACAGAGAGAACGGAGATGGGGTACGGGTCGTGGGGGGGGTCACAACCTTTGACCCGTTCCTCTGTAATGTGGCGCAGGGGACGGCGTTGACCCGGCAGCCTCCTCCTCCAGGTGGTAACGGCACACGGGGCACGTGGCAGACTGCCGAGGGAGGGGAGGAGGAGCGTAGCAAAAATGAACCACACTCACCCGGGGACGCAACTCGTCACGGGCAACTCCCAAGTATCGAGGCCGCTCTATGCTGATGCAAGCCAAGGGCAGCGCTCACAAGGGCAGCGCTCAACTTCAACACAATTCCGGCGATGGGAATTCCACATTTCTATGACGGCTGGGGGGGGGGGGGGGGCAATTTTTCCATTGCCCAAACATCAACTCTTGGTTTCCAAAACAGCAGTGCTTATTTTATCTACCAGTGAGAGATGATGGGCCGCGATTAAGGAGTTTCAAGCTTGCAACATTTTGAAGTGAAAATCCCCATGGGGTTATTTGCAAGTGTACGCGCATGGGGTTTAAGTCCCGAGCGGCCTCTCAAGTGGTTCAAAACAAAGATCTCAGTAGTGGCCATCACACAAAGACGGTGGCCACCGCATCGCGCGGCGCTTTCAGATGCGCTTCTGCGGCCGTCTGGAACGCTCTTCCTTTCGATATTTGGAAGCTGCTGGGAGCTGTGTATTTTTTAATCTTCTAGACTGAAGACTCATTTCTTTAACAACTGCTCTGTGTTTTAGTTTGGTGTCCTTCTCCCGCACCTCCGACACACAAACATACATGTACACACGCTCCCTGTTACGATTGTTGCAATGGAATCACTCAAGTATCTATAAATATAAAAAACTAAAAGAGTTTGTGCAAGGCTACCTTCTTGAGCCACTGCTCGATGCAGGACGTGTGGAAGAGATGGCAGCAGGGCAAGGTAGTGGCTTGATCTGTGCGCACAAACTCGCTGCAGCAAATGGTGCAGATCTGCTCCAATACTGGTTTTTTGGGTAGGAGACAAAATAGCAGCAGCAACAAGTCAATCCACGGGCAGACTTCGTCGAAGCGTTGACAAACTTCTCCGACGGGCGTGTTACCAACGCGTCTCACCGTCCACTCGCGCGGCACGGCGGGATCGGTCCCCGCGCAGGAATTCGTCCGTCCAGTGTCAGTGATAATCCGCCCTCTCGTTTCACTTTCTTATCTTGGCGGAATTTAAATAGCGTCTTAACCGGGGCACTTTACAGAGAATTAAGAAGGGTACGTAGAAATGTAATTGGTGGAGGTGAGGTGAACAAAACAGATGAGAGGAAGCAATGGGGGGAACATCTGTGATGATGCGTGAATTCGGTAAAAGCGAAAATTGATGACAGTGAATGATGATGAATGGATTGGTTGTCGCATCGTACGTAGCCAACCGTGCTAATCGGTGAAACAGTGTTAGTCTATGGGCAGTGTTGAGTCTATGGGCAGTGTTGAGTCTATGTGCAGTGTTGAGTCTATGGGCAGTGTTGAGTCTATGGGCAGTGTTGAGTCTATGGGTAGTGTTGAGTCTATGGGCAGTGTTGAGTCTATGGGCAGTGTTGAGTCTATGGGCAGTGTTGAGTCTATGGGGCAGTGTTGAGTCTGTGGGCAGTGTTGAGTCTGTGGGCAGTGTTGAGTCTGTGGGCAGTGTTGAGTCTATGGTGCAGTGTTGAGTCTATGGGCAGTGTTGAGTCTATGGGCAGTGTTGAGTCTATGGGCAGTGTTGAGTCTATGGGCAGTGTTGAGTCTATGGGCAGTGTTGAGTCTATGGGTAGTGTTCAGTCTATGGGCAGTGTTGAGTCTATGGGCAGTGTTGAGTCTATGGGCAGTGTTGAGTCTATGGGCAGTGTTGAGTCTATGGGGCAGTGTTGAGTCTGTGGGCAGTGTTGAGTCTATGGTGCAGTGTTGAGTCTATGGGCAGTGTTGAGTCTATGGGCAGTGTTGAGTCTATGGGCAGTGTTGAGTCTATGGGTAGTGTTGAGTCTATGGGCAGTGTTGAGTCTATGGGCAGTGTTGAGTCTATGGGGCAGTGTTGAGTCTATGGTGCAGTGTTGAGTCTATGGGCAGTGTTGAGTCTATGGTGCAGTGTTGAGTCTATGGGCAGTGTTGAGTCTATGGTGCAGTGTTGAGTCTATGGTGCAGTGTTGAGTCTATGATGCAGTGTTGAGTCTATGTGCAGTGTTGAGTCTATGGGTAGTGTTGAGTTTATGTGCAGTGTTGAGTCTATGGGTAGTGTTGAGTCTATGTGCAGTGTTGAGTCTATGGGTAGTGTTGAGTCTATGGGCAGTGTTGAGTCTATGGTGCAGTGTTGAGTCTATGGGCAGTGTGGAGTCTATGGGCAGTGTTGAGTCTATGGTGCAGTGTTGAGTCTGTGGGAAGTGTTGAGTCTGTGGGCAGCGTTGAGTCTGTGGGCAGCGTTGAGTCTGTGGGCAGCGTTGAGTCTGTGGGCAGCGTTGAGTCTATGGTGCAGTGTTGAGTCTATGTGCAGTGTTGAGTCTATGGGTAGTGTTGAGTCTATGGTGCAGTGTTGAGTCTATGTGCAGTGTTGAGTCTATGGGCAGTGTTAGTCTTATGTGCAGTATGTATGTTGAACTTATTTCGCACCGCAAGTAGCCAACCGTGCTAATCAGAGGTGCAGGGGTGAGTGTGTGGGTGAGTGTGTGGGTGAGTGTGTGGGTGTGTATGTACATATGAAGGAGGCTCGTGAAAGACGCTCCTGGGCAGTCGCTCGTCAAGAACAACCGAAGGCGGAGGAGCGACGCTCACAACAACGAGCGACGTGCCGGGCGGATGAAATGCAGCAAGTTGGCACAGTAGGAGGTACAGCTGGTGCATCTACCGGTCATCTGGGTCAGCCAACCCATGGCACCTGGGTCTGCTCCGTGACCTCCTGTCAGCAAGCCTTCGACACTTTACGTGGCCTAAAAGTGCACCTGGCCTGGCACAGGCGCCGTGGTGACGTCACTGTCACTCGTGGCAAATGGCGGGTATTGGTGTGTATGTTAAACTACTTTCGCACCGTATGGAGCCAACCGTGCAAATCGGAGGTGCGGGGAAGGTCAACAACGTGGAGAGTGGTTGGTGGCAGATACCATCGTCATTGATGAAGAAGACAGGCAGACTCGACGTGAGCTCGCTGGAGGCCGGGGTAGGCTGGAATTGAATCCCAGTGACGTCGCCGATGAGGGTATTCAGGTTAGCAACGATACTCTGCGTGGACAACGATAAGAAAAACAAAGAACCCTCAGAATAGTCTTAACAGACTGTCGGGGAAAGTGCTGTTATAGCGAGCACTTACGAAGGCCAGCACGGCACACGAACGGGGTGTGGGTCGCCAGCACCACGCCCGGCCCTCTGTCTCCCCTGTGGTGATGTTTGCACACTGTGTCAGGGTCGACCAAGGGGGAACACCAGGACCGGTTGAAATAATCGTCACTGGTGAGGGCCGTGAGGCAGGAATCGAACTCGGGTCGCCAGATGGTTATCGGAATTTTTGAGGCTCCCACAAGGCCATGGGGGAGGGCGCGTGGCACAGTTTGGCGCCAGCTATCGTAGGATGCGGTCGTACTGCTACGGTTCTCCGCGGTGATGTACAATGTCTTTAAAAAACACAACGGTGCTATGCCTCTATAAATACAATGAAGGCTGAACCAGTTGCGCGTTCCGAGATTCAGCGGTGAACGGGACCCCCCGCCATCCGCAAGTTGCAAGACGTCTCGGACCGGGAGAGGCTTAAGGGTGTTAATGGCCAATCAGTGAGCGCTTACACATGGCAGAAGACTGGAGCTCCCGGGAGAAAACCCAACCCACGCGTGTGTGCTTACCTCAATGGCAGACAGCCGATCTTCCAAAGGCAAGAGAGGAAAACGTCCCGGGTTGAAGACCTCGGCTTCCAGACTGAAATGAGCACAAAGACAAAGACCCCCCCCCCCCCCCCCATATAGCTTGAGTCGACTGCTGGGGCAAGTGCTATTATAGCGAGGAGCACAGCACGTATGATGGCTGGAACTGTGGCACACAGGGGGGTGGGTGGCCAGCACCACACCCCGCCGCCTTGGTCCCCAAGTAGCGATGTTTACTGCATGCCGCACCAGGTACTCATTTGAGGCCGAGTCGACCTAGGGGAGGCTCAGGACCTATTTAGATAGCGAGCGGGAATCGAATTCGGGTCGCCGGGTTCGTAGCGCAGTGTGCTAACCAATGCACCACCGCTCCTCACATGCACACGAACGCATTGTTTACTACTGTATACTTTACTATAAGACTGCTTCTCTACAATCAACTAAGAATGCTCTACAACTGTAAGAGATCACATTACGTCTTATATTACGTAGGCTTAGTTCCCTTCTTGAAAAGTTTCATGTACTTGGAAAATTTGGTGACACAGGGACGAGATGTTAACTACCTCGCCTGGAATACAGGAGGTCGTGGGTTCAATCGCGACCCTGATGCCTGCTGCTGTATATTAGGAGTTTGCGTGTCTCTCTCTTTCTCTCCCCGTGGTCGTGTGGATTTCTCTCTGGCTCCTCCCGTTTCATTTCCCCCCTCCACATTTGGAATCGACGTCACGCGTTTCGACCATTCGGCTGTCCATTTCCCGCGTGACCACGATGATGAGCCACTTCGCCGAGCTGTCATTTGCGATGGGCAGGTCGCTGCTGAAAAGGGCTACATATCTCAGTGGGACTTACCTGGTAACACAAAATAGTTTAGCCGAATAGTTTATTCTAACATCCATTTTACCATTAAATGAGAGGAAATGTACGCGGCAGACACTAGAAATTATACAATCGATTCTTGAATAGAAATATTAGGGAAATCTCACAAACTGTTAACAGTTCAACAGTTTAGTTTTGGTGAACAATGAGTTTCACTCTCCGATAACCGTCATATATTAAACGGATCATTTGCTACACGTTAAAAAATATACAAATCTCTCACCTGAAGTCGGACACAAACTCGTTGGTGGCCATTGCCGTGTCTGCGGAATTGAAGAAAAGGCCTCCCCCTCCGAGGCATCATCGTCATCATCGTCACCGTGACCGTCATCAGCATCATCATCATCATCGCGGTCGGCGCCACCACCATCGCCTTCGTCGTCACCGTCGTCGCCGCTCAAGCGCAGCTCCTCTTCACGCAGCACCCACGGTGGCGGCCGCTGCAGGAGATTCCTGAGCGGGAGAGAGACGGTGGAGGGGGGGGGGGGGGGGCCGGGTGTTAATTCGGCGTCGTTGGCGACAAGACGGCCTGCACAGATTGAGTGACGTTGCCTAGTCTCTGGATTTAATATGGTCATTCGGCCTGTTAAAATGATGGGACCGTGGAATTGCCAGTCCACCAGATCATCCCCACGCACGGCATGGGTTTTCTCCGGGCAATCCGAATTTGTCCCACGTGATGCCAACGATTTAACTGGCCAAGCACCCCAACGCGAGATCCTCCCAACAAACGGTGAGGCTTTTTTACTCTTAGAGTTTTTCGGTAAAGTCACGTAGGTAAAAATAAACAATAAAAATAAATAAAATAAATAATATAAATAATGTAAATAATAATAAATACACTGCACTTAATACAGTAAATTCAGCTGTGACGGTCCCACCTGATGACGGAGACTTGTGTTGCCTCCGAAACGTCGTGATTTAATATTTTATTTCTATTTGTGATTTCCAATATATTTATTATTTATGTTTATTATTTATTTTATACTTTTTATTTTCATTATGTATTTTTATTATTTATTTTTACCTACATGACTTTACCGAAAACACCTAAGAGTACGAATCCTTGCAGTCACGAAAGCTTCAAATCTAGGCGAGGCTTTTCCTCGGCAAGATGCTGGCACCTCCGATTAGTACGGTTGGCTACGTACGTTTGGCGAAAGACGTTCAACGCACGTGCGCGCGTGCGTACGTGCAGACGGGGCGGGCGCAAAAGCATCGGAAAAAAAATCTCCTACCTCAAGCCTTCTTCGGCGAGGGCGCCGACATCGACGAAGGAGGCGTCGTTCACGGACGTGGTTTCTCCCTCCGACTCGTCGCCGTCGTAGTCGTCGCCATTGAAGAGCTCCTCCAAGGAGCCGTCAACGCTCGACATTTGCAGGAAGGGTTGCCTTGCGGAGGAAGAACAACACAGACGCGTGAGAGACGCGCGAGTAATGCGCACGCGTGCGGTTTACAAGGGTAAAAGAGGCGGCCACCGACGCTGGCGCGGGCCGTGTCTCTGGACAAAACTTGACGCCAGAAACAACGCAAAGGAAGCCTCGTGATGTAGATGCTCACCCCGAGCTCTCATTACTCTGATAGTGCGTTGTCTTTGAACTGTGCGCCTTTTGGCGTCATCTGGTCGAGGACCATTTGAGACTAGGCTCTAAGAAAAGCTGCCTCTGGTGTGGACCAATCAGTTTCAAGGACAATGCATAAATTATCAGAGTATTGTTTTTTGTTTGCATTTGACTGCAAGTATTGTGGTTAATGTAAGCATGATTCCTTGCAAAAGGTGTCAGTTTTGTTGCCAGAAAAAAGAGGAAAAACCCTGTTAGTATATTTTGGTACTGGCAAAGGAGGCCTCGTGATGATGAAGTATATTGTACGCGGCAATCTCGTGAATATTCATGGTGTTGTGTGCACGCATACATTAATATATGTTCAACTTGCTTGAGAACCTGGATTAACTACAGGTAAGTAACAGTAGGGTGAGTGTGCGAGCGAGTGCAGGGTGAGTGTGCGAGCGAGTGCAGGGTGAGTGTGTGAGCGAGTGCAGGGTGAGTGTGTTTGAGTGTAGGGTCAGTGTTTGTGAGTGTAGTGTAAGAGTGTGTGTAAGGCGAGTGTGTTTGTGAGTGAAGGGTCAGTGTGAGTGAAGGGTGAGTGCGTGAGTGTAGGGTGAGTATGTGTGTAGGGTGTGTGTGTAGGGTGAGTATGTGCGTAGGGTGTGTGTGTAGGGTGTGTGTGTAGGGTGTGTGTGTGTAGGGTGAGTGTAGGGTGAGTGTATAGGGTGTGTGTGTGTGTAGGGTGAGTGCGTGTGTAGGGTGAGTGCGTGTAGTGTGAGTGTAGTGTGAGTGTAGGGTGAGTGTAGTGTGAGTGTAGTGTGAGTGTAGTGTGAGTGAGTAGGGTAAGTGCGTGAGTGTAAGGCGAGTGTAGCGTGAGCGAGTGTAGGCTAACTGTGTGCGAGTGTCGGGCGAGTGTGTGTAAGGGGAGTGTGTGAGTGCAGGGTGTAAACGAAAACTCGGCCTCAGGGTTTCCAAACACAGGGACTCTGCGGTGCGGGCTTAGTGTCAGTAATAAAAAAAGAGCTTCATAGCTCATCGGATTCCTCCAGTATGAATAAATATTGCGACCGCGTGAACGTACAAAGCACGGTGGTAACTGTTGATCGCGAGCAAGAGAGCCAAGTTGTTATCGTAGTCGTCATCATCATCATCAAAGTCATCCAAGTCATCCATGATGATGTGGCCCCGTTCGATGATATCATCGGCGTCATCGTAGTCGTAGTCCATGTAGGAGATGCTGTTGCTGCTGCTGCTGCTGCTACTGCTCCCGCTGATGAAGGGGACCCGCTGATCCGAGAGGGAGAACGTCTCCCAGCTCGAGTTGTCCGAGTCGCGCCCGTCGCCATCCTCCACTCCACTGTGCGACGCAGCGACACACGCACACAAAGATCCCCCGTATAGCTTGCAACAGACTGTTGGGGCAAGTGCTGTTAGCAGTCGCACCTACAAAGGCTGGTATGGCACACGAGGAGGTGGGTTGCCAGCGCCACGCCCGACCGCCTTTGTCTCCCCAGTGGCAATGTTTTTAACACCGCACCAGGTACTCAATTGAGGCCAAGTCGACCTAGGGGAGGCCCAATTGTCACTGGTGTTGGCTGCGAGTGGGAATCGAACCTGGATTGCTGGGTTCATAGCGCAGCGCGCGAGCCGCTACACTACCGCTCCCAACAGCAGCACAAAGACAAACACTGTTAATCTATATTCTTGGTTCTTTCGGTAAAGTCACGTAGAAGGGAAATAATAAAATAATAAAAATAAAACATAATAAAATTAAATTATCATGACGTTTCGGCCACAACGCAAGCAGCCGTCCTCAGGTGAAGAAACAGAACACTGTTAATCTACTCGACACTGTGCAATGTGCGTGTTTGTGGTGTGCGAGTGGCGTGTGTGCGCGTGACGTTGATGTGTGCCGTGTGCGTGTGCCGTGTGCGTGTGCCGTGTGCGTGTGCCGTGTGCGTGTGCCGTTGATGTGTGCCGTTGATGTGTGACGTGTGCGTGTGCCGTGTGCCGTGTGCCGTGTGCGTGTGCCGTTGATGTGTGACGTGTGCGTGTGACGTGTGCGTGTGACGTATGCGTGTGCCGTGTGCGTGTGCCGTGTGCCGTGTGCCGTGTGCCGTGTGCCGTGTGCCGTGTGCCGTGTGCGTGTGACGTTGACGTGTGCGTGTGACGTTGACGTGTGCGTGTGCCGTGTGCGTGTGCGTGTGCCGTGTGCGTGTGCCGTGTGCGTGTGCCGTGTGCGTGTGGCGTGTGGCGTGTGCCGTGTGCGTGTGACGTGTGACGTGTGACGTGTGACGTGTGCCGTGTGCGTGTGACGTGTGCGTGTGACGTGTGCGTGTGACGTGTGCCGTGTGACGTGTGACGTTGATGTGTGCGTGTGCCGTGTGACGTTGACGTGTGCGTGTGCCGTGTGCGTGTGCCGTGTGCGTGTGCGTGTGGCGTGTGCGTGTGGCGTGTGCGTGTGGCGTGTGCCGTGTGCGTGTGGCGTGTGCCGTGTGCGTGTGACGTGTGACGTGTGACGTGTGCCGTGTGCCGTGTGACGTGTGCGTGTGCGTGTGCGTGTGACGTGTGCGTGTGACGTGTGCCGTGTGACGTGTGACGTGTGCGTGTGACGTTGATGTGTGCGTGTGACGTGTGACGTGTGACGTGTGACGTGTGCGTGTGCGTGTGCCGTGTGACGTGTGCGTGTGACGTTGACGTGTGCGTGTGACGTTGACGTGTGCCGTGTGCATGTGCCGTGTGCCGTGTGACGTTGATGTGTGCGTGTGACATGTGCGTGACGTGTGCCGTGTGCGTGTGCCGTGTGCCGTGTGCGTGTGCCGTGTGCCGTTGACGTGTGCGTGTGACGTTGACGTGTGCGTGTGCCGTGTGACGTGTGCCGTGTGCCGTGTGCCGTGTGCATGTGCCGTGTGCCGTGTGACGTTGATGTGTGCGTGTGACATGTGCGTGACGTGTGCCGTGTGCCGTGTGCGTGTGCCGTGTGCGTGTGCCGTGTGCGTGTGCCGTGTGCGTGTGCCGTGTGCGTGTGCCGTGTGCGTGTGCCGTTGATGTGTGACGTGTGCGTGTGCCGTGTGCCGTGTGCGTGTGCCGTTGATGTGTGACGTGTGCGTGTGACGTGCGCGTGTGACGTGTGCGTGTGCCGTGTGCCGTGTGCCGTGTGCGTGTGCGTGTGACGTTGACGTGTGCGTGTGCCGTGTGCCATGTGCGTGTGCCGTGTGCGTGTGGCGTGTGCGTGTGGCGTGTGCCGTGTGCGTGTGACGTGTGACGTGTGACGTGTGACGTGTGCCGTGTGCGTGTGACGTGTGCGTGTGACGTGTGCGTGTGACGTGTGCGTGTGACGTGTGACGTGTGACGTTGATGTGTGCGTGTGCCGTGTGACGATGACGTGTGCGTGTGCCGTGTGCGTGTGCGTGTGGCGTGTGCGTGTGGCGTGTGCCGTGTGCGTGTGGCGTGTGCCGTGTGCCATGTGCGTGTGACGTGTGACGTGTGCCGTGTGCCGTGTGCCGTGTGACGTGTGACGTGTGACGTGTGACGTGTGCGTGTGCGTGTGACGTGTGCGTGTGACGTGTGCCGTGTGCGTGTGACGTTGATGTGTGCGTGTGACGTGTGACGTGTGCGTGTGCCGTGTGCGTGTGCCGTGTGCCGTGTGACGTTGACGTGTGCCGTGTGACGTGTGCCGTGTGCCGTGTGCCGTGTGCCGTGTGCATGTGCCGTGTGCCGTGTGACGTTGATGTGTGCGTGTGACATGTGCGTGACGTGTGCCGTGTGCGTGTGCCGTGTGCCGTGTGCGTGTGCCGTGTGCCGTTGATGTGTGCGTGTGACGTTGATGTGTGCGTGTGACGTTGATGTGTGCGTGTGCCGTTGATGTGTGCGTGTGACGTTGATGTGTGCGTGTGACGTTGATGTGTGCGTGTGACGTTGATGTGTGCGTGTGACGTTGATGTGTGCTCGTGTTCACCTGCTGTCTCTGTCCGACTCGGGCGACATCTGAGCCCACGGAGTGAGCAGGGACAACAAGATGGATGCCGATCCGTCCCTGTCGGCAGCCCCGTTGCTTCTAGCTTCCCCTCCGCTTCTTGCTTCACCATGGCCGCTTCTGGCTTCTCCACGACTGCTTCTCGTTTCTCCAATGCTTCCGATTCCTTCAAAGTTTCTCTTTTTCCTGCAGCTTCTCGCTTTTCCTCGGCTTCTTGCTTCCCCGTTACTGCTCCCCGCTTCCCCGCTGCTTTCATCATCCCCACTGCTTCGTTCTCCCCTGCTGCTTGTCGCTTCCTCGCCGCCTCTTGCTTTTCTGCTGCTGCCTCTTGGTTTTGCATTGCGTCTCTTTTTCCTGCTTATGTTGACTTCTCTGCTCCTGCTTCTCGTTTCCCTACTGCTGCTTCTTGCTGCCCTAGTACTCATCTTCATCTTGCAGCGTTGTCCATCGCCAACAATTCTCTCTCCTTTGCTACTGCCGCTTACGATTCCCCCAACAGTGCTCGCGTTTCCGATTCTGCATCTCGCTTCCCCGTTGCTATTTCTTTCCTCTCTGCTGCTGCTTCTCGATTCTCGGACGTTTCTCTCTTTCTTTGTGCCTCCAATTCGTCCACAGCTGCTTCTCCCAACTCTGCCGTCCCTTGCATCCCTGCTGCTGCTTCTTGCTTCCATACAGCTTCTGGTTTCCCTGAAACCCCCCTTCTCTCTGCCGCGTCTCGCTTCTCGGCCGCTACTTGCTTCACCAGCACCTTGTCTTGTTTGCTGGAAGCTGCGTCCCGCTTCGCCGCCACTTCCCGCTTCTTTCTCCGGACGTTCCTCCGAAGCAGCAGTTGTGGCGGTAGCGGCGGCGGCAGCAGCAACAGCCGCCTCAAACATCGACCTGAAACCAGAAACGTCACAACCGCTGCTGCTGTCTTCGTTTGAAGATCTGCTGCGCTTGCTACATTTCTCTCGGACTTTCGGGATAGCGCCACCAGTAACGGCAGCAGCTGCGCCTGCAGAAGCAGCAGCAGCGGCGGTAGCTCCATCCCTCGCGACTCTGCTGCGAGTGGAGCGTCGAGTAGGCTCCCGCTTGTTAACGGCGAGCTCGCAATCTTCGTCGCTGTCGTATTGACCGCGAGGATGCTCGCCGGCGTAGCAGCGACCCCGCAGATCTGTCGGCAAACACGGTCGTGGTTCCATTATCTGGGCTCGTGGGGGCAAGGGGGTGGCCCCAATAAAACAAAAACAATCAAAAATACGTGTTGACTGAGCAATATAAACATCATACACTGTTTATCTATGCAGAATGGGGGTGAAAACAAAGAATGCGCCTTCTGTTTAAATGATTGTTAGAGTAATTAGTTTATTGCCGACGTGTTCGCAGTCACGTGGGCACCGAGTCACCTTTACCCGAGGGATGCACCTTTTATTTTTACCATCTATTAACCCCCCCCTGCTCCCCACCCTTTTCCAGCTCCCTCTCTACCCCCCATTATGCTAGTTATCTTACCCCTCATCCTCCCCTCCCCACAAAAGCTTTCATGTTCCCGCTCACAAAGGACCTGCATTTTACCCTCCGTTAAACCCTGGCGCCGATTTTGGGATTTTTTTCTTAATTTTATTTTATGTTGCCGAGTGATATACAGGGCCTAGATAGAGCGTGTTGCCGGCTGGTTAGCTCACTTGGTTAAAGCGTGGTGCTAATAACGCACAGGGCACGGGTTAGATTCCTGTACGGGGCCATGTGGTAGTTATTTTAATATTTGTATTTTTGTTTATCAAATTAAAACATTACAATTATTCATCATTAGAACCCTACCTCCTGCAATGGGAAATTGTTCATATGCAAATTTCACATGCACCGATTCGAAAAAAGTCCACGTTTGAAAATTCCCTTCACGTGCACCACCCAAATTCCCCTCCGCCTGCCTTTCCTCTCGCACACTCAGGAACACAGCGCACCTGACTCGTCGCGCCCTCGTCTCACGCGCGACGCAGTGGTGGCGGTGGTGGCGGTGGTGGCGGCGGGAGATGCAGAGATCCCGTCACGGGGCGGTGACGGCGGATGAGGCGACGCTGGTGTTGCCGTCTCGGCGTCGGGGGCTACCCGCTCGGGCCGGAAGCCAACGTACGCGTGCCGGCGTCCGTAGCGGTGGCCGCTCAGCGTGGTGTGTCGTGCCGAAGATGCCGGCTTCACATACTGCTGCCCCATGGCCGCTACCGACGGCTGCTGCTGCCGATACTGCACCTGGGGGTACAGGCCAAGGGCATCAAGTTCGAGAGGTTATCACCGACTTGCGACTGCTGTCTCTCGATGCCAGATCTCGCAGCGACGCATGGACGTAAGTTGAACTTCTTTCGCACCAGACGTAGCCAACAGCTCTAATCGAAGTGCGGGGAAAGGACAACAAACTAAACACAACAATAAGTTCTAAAGAAATGAGTTCGTCAACCTAGATGATGATTTCAAAGTGCCATAGCTCCCAGTGGCTTTCTAATATCGGAAGTTTGAGCGTTCCAGGCGGCCGCAGAAGCGAATCTGAAAACGCCGCGCGATGCGGTGGCGACTCTCTTTGCTCGATGGCTACTGCTGCTGCACCTGGGGCAGAAGTCAAGGCGTCAAGTTCAAGAGGTCATCACCGACTTGCGACCGCGCTCTTTTGCTGCCAGTGCCACAGTCAACGCCGGATTGCCAACGCTGAGAGAGTCCCCGTGTAGTTTTGCGAATCCTCTTGTTGGTTTAGGGCACCACAAAGACTACAGTGGTGTACTCTCCGGCGCGGTCCATAGTTTGGTTTGCGTGGCCACAATCGCATACGACTGTGGCGCGGCGTCTTTAACACTCCATTTACGAAGGAGATGTGCGCCACAGGCCTGGTGATGTTCCGACGCCGTCGCCGATTGCTGTGACCCAGAGGTCGCAACCGGGTACCCGATACCCGTACCCTACCCGATACCCGGCTACCCGTACCCGGCCGGGTACGGGTACCCGTTTGCGACCCTGGTGCGGCCGGGTACGGGTAGGCCGTGAGTCACTGGTGAGTAACCGTTTGTTACTCATTTCGGGTAGGGTACGGGTAGGGAACGAGTGCAATAAATCTAGGAGCAAACCTGGAAAAGCAGTTTGCGAGTAGCAGCAACATCATCATCAACACCAGCTAACATCACACGCCTCGCCAGAGAGAAGCAGTTCCAGCCCATCGCATTCGGGGCGAGTTAATTAAATGTTTGACCAAATTTTATGGGCTAATTTTTAAGTTGATCATTTTGTATGGCCCGCGAATTATGTGATTAATATCGAAATGGCACTTGGCAGATAAAAAAAAATGTTCCTTCGCCCCTGGTCGAGACGTACACACGCATGGTGGACTTCTTTCGCACCGTACACGGCCAAACCCGTGCCCAACGGAGATGCGGTGGACGGACAACGCTAACTAAAAGTCTTGCTTTAAAAGTGCATTTAGCTATTACTACCCGATACCGAGAAGCTTCGTTTTTAACATTACACACACGAAGTAATTATGCGCATTAAGTCAAAGTATCGAGTATTTTAAAACATTTTAATCAGACTTTGATTTTCGGGCCTACCCAGCCCGCGGCGGCTAGTCGAGGCAGAGGCAATTTTTAGTTTTTTTTAAACTTTCTTTTTACACAACGGATATTCGCCCAACCGCGCTCGGCTGTACATCGCCCCGCGGAGCGCTCACCTCGAGGTTGAACTCGCGGCTCGGCGCTCCCAAAGCGCCGCTTTTGACGCGACGCGCTCGCGGCTCCAAGCGACAACTTAACGCCGACAAGGAGCCGTTTGGATTTCCCACTCTATATAAGTGGAGGCGCCGGGTGGGTGGGCGGGGGAGGAGTTGCGGATCACGTGGGGCGCCGTTCGTCCAATCGGCGCACAGCACGCGCTTGTCCGGACTATGTATTCGGAAAGCCTCTTCGTTCCCATGGCGACGGTTACTAAACCACGTGATCGATCGTAACATCGTTGCTTTTGTTATTTTTGCTTCATAATTAGTTGAAGATCGATGCGTCACAGTTTTGCTTTTCGTAGCATGTCGTCAAATATTGTTGGAATAAAAAAACGTATAATTTTAAGGCCTCAACACAGGCGTTGTTTCTCTGTGTGCCTATGTGTGTCTCTGTGTTATCTCTCTCTGCTTATGTGTCTGTCCATGTGTCTCCGTGTTTTGTCTCTCTCAAATTTAGCAACGTATATATTGTTTTTTAGCAACGTATATATTATTTTAAAATGACATCCTTCCCCCGTGTAGTACGAGTGATACATAGGTTTTAGACGAATCGGGTTGCCGGCTGGCCGGTTAGCTCAGTTGGTTAGAGCGTGGTGCTAATAACGCCAAGGTCGCGGGTTCGATCCCCGTACGGGCCACGATTATTTTTTTTTTAAGAATGTCAAAATAATCACGTAGGTATAAAATATAAGAATTTTTTTTAATATAAAAAACTTTAATATTTTTTCTAAAATAAAAAATTATAAGTAATAACATTGTTTTTAAATCACAAAGTTTCGGAAGCAACACAAGCTTCCGCTATCAGGTGGGAAAACCACAGCAAGAAATAAAATTACTGTAGTGGACAAGAGCCGTTCGTAACAAGATATTTCTTGCTGTGGTTTCCCACCTGATGACGGAAGCTTGTGTTGCTTTCGAAACGTGATTTAATTAAAATTTTTATTACTTTTAATAAAATATTTTTTTTTATAAAAAAAAGTTTTATTTATTTTATACCTACGTGACTTTACCGAAAGAACAAAAGAGTATGGAACATTGCAGTCACGAAAACTTAAGATCTAAACTAATACCACTATTCATCATTTTTAAACGATAAACAAATAGTTTTTATTTTACCAAGTAAGGCCCTCTGAGCTATAGCTTTTTTTAGAAGCTACTTTGGCCACAAATTATAGCCCAATTAAGTGGCTTATCGTGCGTAAACGTATCGCAGCCAAAGACTCTAAACGCGTGATGATGTCGATTCTGAATGTGGAGGGAAAAACCGGAGGACCCGGAGAAAAATCCACGCGACCACGGGGAGAGAGACACGCAAACTCCAAATACTGTATACAATATGGGACCTCTTTCAACATTTTTCCGGAAAGGTTAAAACCTATTATTATATTCTCATATCCAAATATACAACAGGCGTCAGCATGCCTGTCAACCCTTTATCAGTGCCCTACCTTACTACAGACCTTGTAAAACTCAACGTTCATCCTACAAAGTCACAAGGAAGAAACACAAATAGAGAAAAAAGTATGTTTCTAATAACAAAAACATTTTAATGCATCAATTTAGATCATTGGTGTCAATGATGCTACGTACGATGCTGCTGTCTGTGATCTTGCATGCCCTCCCCACCCAGCCCCACCCCTCCCACCCCCCACCCAGCCCCACCCTCCCCACCCACCCCCTCCCCACCCTCTCCACCCAGCCCCACCCTCCCCTCAGCCCCACCCCTCCCACCCCCCACCCAGCCCCACCCTCCCCACCCAGCCCCTCCCCACCCTCTCCACCCAGCCCCACCCTCCCCACCCAGCCCCACCCCTCCCACCCCCCACCCAGCCCCACCCTCCCCACCCAGCCCCACCCCTCCCACCCCCCACCCAGCCCCACCCTCCCCACCCAGCCCCACCCTCCCACCCCCCACCCAGCCCCACCCTCCCCACCCAGCCCTCCCCACTCTCTCCACCCAGCCCCACCCTCCCCACCCAGCCCCTCCCCACTCTCTCCACCCAGCCCCACCCTCCCCACCCAGCCCCTCCCTGCACGACGGACACAATAATCCCCTGTGGGCTGGTGTAACCAGGAGGTTCCTACCAGTAATATTTTCGTTTCATAGTCGCTGGGGGGAGCCATCTGCCCGGGTTCAAGCTGCAAAGGAATGTGGACGGCGAACGTGAAGCAGCAGCAGCATCATCATCATCAGCTGCTGCTGCTGCTGTTGACTGTCACAAGATGTGTCTGTACAACTACACACACACTGACACATTCATACACAGATAGCCTCCTCTGCCCACCCAGTGTAGCCTCGACAGACTGCTGGGGCAAGTGCTGTTAGCGAGCACCTATGAAGGCCGGCACCGTGGCACACGAGGGGGTGGGTGGCCAGCACCACGCCTGGCCGCCTTTGTCTCCCCAGTAGCAATGTTTACACACCGCACTAGGTACTCATTTTAGGCTGAGTCGATCTAGGGTAGGCCCAGGACCGGTTCAGATAATCGTCACTGATGTTGGTGGCCGTGAACGGGAATTGAACTGGGGTCGCCGGGTTCGCAGCACACTAACCACTACACGACCGTTCCCCACTCACACACACACACACATATACACATACACACACCCACACACACATACATAATCACACACACACACATACTCACACACACACACACACACCCCCCCACACACACACACACACCTACTCACGAACACACACACATACACACACTCACACACATACATACTCACACACACAAAAACACCCCACACACACATACTCACTCACACACACACACCCACACACACACATACACACACCCCCACACACACACACACACCCCCACACACACCCCCACACACACACACCCCCACACACACATACACACGAACACACACACATACACACCCCACACACACACACACATACCCCCACACACACACACCCCCACACAAACATACACACGAACACACACCCCACACACACACATACACCCCCCCCCCCACACACACACATACCCCACACACACATACACACACACACACCCCCCCCACACACACACATACCCCCACACACACACACATATACCCACACACACATACCCCCCCACACACACACATACCCCCACACACACGAATATACACACATATACCCCCACACACATATACCCCCCCACACACATACCCCCACACACACATACCCCCACACACACATACCCACACACACACATACCCACACACACACGAACACACACATACCCACACCCCCCTACACGCGTGGGCGTTTCCTCACGAGGGGAAGGAGTTGAGAGCGCCAGGATTGAGACTCCTGGCGCCCCGCTCCACTCCAGAGTTCATCACCACTACCACCACCACCATCACCACCATCACCACCACCTCCACCATCACCACCTACACCACCACCACCATCACCACCATCACCACCATCACCATCACCACCTCCACCACCTCCATCACCTCCATCCACCACCACCTCCATCCACCACCTCCACCACCATCACCACCTCCACCACCTCCTCCACCACCACCTCCTCCACCACCTCCATCCACCACCTCCACCACCACCACCTCCTCCATCCACCACCACCACCTCCACCACCATCACCACCTCCACCACCACCACCGCCTCCACCACCATCACCAGCTCCACCACCACCTCCTCCATCCACCACCACCACCACCTCCACCACCTCCACGTACGTAGCGCATCGCTTGCGGGGCACACAGAGACACGCACGCACACCACGCAGCTTCTCACGCACGCACACCACGCAGCTTCTCACGCACGCACACCACGCAGCTTCTCAGGCACGCACACCACGCAGCTTCTCACGCACGCACCACGCAGCTTCTCACGCACGCACACCACGCAGCTTCTCACGCACGCACACCACGCAGCTTCTCACGCACGCACACCACGCAGCTTCTCACGCACGCACACCACGCAGCTTCTCACGCACGCACACCACGCAGCTTCTCAGGCACGCACACCACGCAGCTTCTCACGCACGCACACCACGCAGCTTCTCACGCACGCACACCACCCAGCTTCTCACGCACGCACACCACGCAGCTTCTCACGCACGCACACCACGCAGCTTCTCAGGCACGCACACCACGCAGCTTCTCACGCACGCACACCACGCAGCTTCTCACGCACGCACACCACGCAGCTTCTCACGCACGCACACCACGCAGCTTGGGATACGCGCTACACTACACGCACGAGATTGTGAGACACAACAGCGTGTCACGCACACACTACACACACTACACACACACTACACACACTATACACACACACTACACACACTACACACACACTACACACACACTACACACACTATACACACACACTACACACACTACACACACACCCTACACACACACGCACACACAGGCGCGCACACACATACACTACACACACACTACACACACACTACACATACTACACACACACTACACACACTCTACACACACACACTACACACACTCAACACACACACACTCTACACACACTACACACACACCACACACACACTACACACACACCACACACACCACACACACACTACACACACTACACACACACCACACACTACACACACATACTACACACACACTACACTCACTCTACACACACACACTACACACCAGAGGTGGGACAAAGTCATTGTTATGCAAGTCCAAGTCGAGTCTGAAGTCATCAAATTCATGACTCGAGTCTGACTCGAGTCCAAGTCACATGACTCGAGTCCACACCTCAGAGGTGGGACAAAGTCATTGTTATGCAAGTCCAAGTCGAGTCTGAAGTCATCAAATTCATGACTCGAGTCTGACTCGAGTCCAAGTCACATGACTCGAGTCCACACCTCTGCTACACACACTCAACACACACACTCTACACACACTACACACACTCGCTGTGTAGTTAAAACCAGACGTACTCTGTTTCTTGTGCAGGACCACGGGCTTACAATTCGCTGGTGAGTACATCATCCAATCGTGCAATCAGCTTGCTCAGAAGTTTAAACAAATCATCCTCTCGGCGAA